CAGATGGTTGTTAGCCACAGTGTGGGTGCTAGGGATCAAACCTAGCTCCCCTGGAGGAGCAGTCAGTGCTCCTAACTGAGCCTTTGCCTCAGTCCTGTGATCTGCTAATTATTTGTTTGTTTGTTTGTTTGTTTGGTTGGTTGGTTGGTTGGTTGGTTTTTGGAGACAGGGTCTCATTGTTTAGCTCTGGCTGTCCTGGAATTCACTATGTAGACCAGGCTGGCCTTGAACTCAAAGAGAACCACCTGCTTCTGTCTCCCAAGTGCTCAGATTAAAGGCACACACCACTATAACAGGCTTGATCTATTCCTGAAGTACACTTTTTAAAATTTGTTTTTAGTAATTTTTTTCTTTTCCTCCCATGGTTGGATATAGGACCTTATACATACTAGGTAAGCACCCCACCAATTGAATACCCCCTCATTTCCTCACTTAAAATATATTCTCCCTAGTATTTAATTGTTGTGTTTGTTTGTTTGAGGGTCATGAGTTAAAACTCACCCTTAATTATTAATACAGGGCAAGTTCAAGGCCAGCCATGTGTATTTGATTGAGACCCCTGCCTTTTAAAACAGAAAGAAGAAAAATAAATTGAATTCTTTTCCAGAATAATTATATTGTTAAGGTGTTAGTCTTTCAGGGTTTTAGAATTTAGAGGTATTTTATTACTAAGGATTATGGCCTTTGGGATTGTGTCTTTGGGGATCATAGCCTACATTCACCACCATCATGATCATAATAGTAACAAGAACAACTTAGTTTGATACGCTTTTTCTAAGACATCTTTGTGTCTTCATATTATAGCTCAGAGAGTTTAAGTGACCCGCTCATCACCATCCTTTGCTTGGTCTACTCTGGCTCCCCCAGCTCACCCGCAGCTGTCCCCGCTGGGAGTTCTGTTTTCAAGAACGAACCTAGCAAACATTCCGCTCTGTGTACAGCAGGCTCCCCCGGGGCAGGAAGCGTCGGATAGTGCTGGAATTTCTAATCCTTAACATGTCCCTATGCGTGTTGACTGGTGAGGGAGAAGAGAAAAAAGCCCGCAGCAGCTGTGGTGTGGTTTGGGTTTGGGTCTAAAGAACGGGTTATCCGGGACTTCATTTCATTTGGGTCACTTGAGGCTCAACCGATGCCCAGGAGAGAGGCCAACGCGTCATCGCTTACCCGTTACCTTTTCTCCACAGCCTTCCTCAGCCACCAGGGCAGGCGCCCGCTCCTGGTTACCGTGGCAACCGTGAGGAGCCCTAGCCAGTTCCGCTGCTGCGCTGACTTCTGCAGCCCTAGCTGAGATGCAGCGCTGAGGACCGACAGACGGTGACAGACCCCTAATTCTTCATCCCTTCCTCGCTGCTCTGGACCCCGAGAGAACGAGGGAAGGCATAAGGATGAAAGAAGCGTGCCTCGGGGCCTCCGGATGAGAACCTTTGCTGGGATTCTGGCTGGAAGGTGGAGCCGCCACACTTAGGATGCAGGCAGCCACAACAGCAGCACCTGTGTCCTGAGGACCAGCCAATCTGGGCAGGCAAGCTCTCACCGGCGAGGCAGATGCGGATGTGAAGCCCCAGTCCGTAAGTACCATCAAATCTCCCCCTGGGTGTGCAAATCTCTTAAAGGAAAAGGTTTTGTGTCTTGACACCTTAAGAAAAAAAATCACATCTTTCGATTGTGTATGCCTTTCCTTGCCTTTCTGATATATATGAGATTCTTGGAACAAATCTGTCTGCCTTTAAACGCGTTGCTCTCTTAACCAGTGGGAGCAACACCCCAGTATCCGTGTCTCCTTCACTGCACAACGCCCCACCGGCCGATAACCATGCACCATAAGCACACGCCCCAAAGACTGAGAAACACAGCACTCAGTTTCTCAGCCAATGCCGTCCCATTATCTCTAGGCTCTCCTCCCGCCCCCACCCCAATCAAAGAAATAACATCCTTAGGCAAGCCGGTGGTGTGCCAGATGTCAGAGGACTGCCCCGGGATCCCCACGGCACCGTGTCCTTTCTGCGAGCTCAATGTGAATCCATTAGCTCATCCACAGGCGACAATTGTTACACTCAGAGGGACATTTATTTCCGTCCAGTAGAGGGCGCCGGCGCTCGCCTACAGAGCTCGGTAAACAGGCCAGAGATGCCATCCCCACTCCCGTAGGCATGCACGTGCCCCTGGCTGCGGAGGACCCGGCGCAAGTCAGCCTCTGTGATCGTTAACAAAGGGATGGTTATGTTGGTCCCCCCTGGAAGTCAAGGGAAGGGCAAAAAGACTTCCGGAGCACGGCGTTCGTTTCAGAAGCGAATGAACGTGTTTCCAGGGCAAAGTACTTACTGTATACCCATCAAATGTCCTCTCCTTCCCCGTCAGCCCCTCCTCCCCGAGCCCCTAGTCCTTTCTTACGTAGCGCTGTGATGGAGTGTTTACAATTTACCGTGTTAGGAAGACAGGAGACAAAACAAAGGGGAAGGCGAGGCGGGGAACCTAGTTGGAATGAACGGTAACCGACAGCAGCGCGGCTGGCCCCTGCAGGAGTCCGCCCTAGCTGCATGTTGGAACACCTGCAGGGGTCTCCAGCCGGGGACATTCTGACTTAGCTTCCAGGTGGTTCTAAAGCACCGAGGTTGCCCGCCACCATTCTAATCAGGATGACGTATTTCCAGGTGAACTCTGGTTTAGCCTCTCAAACATGCTGCTGCTGGAGGGCGGGGGTATATTATTATTGTGATGTGTGACTAGCCACCTTGTGGAAGAGAGCTGGCAGCATCTGTGACTACCTGGAGCAGCTGAGGGCGAAAGGGATGTGTCAAAGGAGGGAGGGCGCACCTCTCTCAAAATGGGCTCCTTCTCCGAAAAAAAATGTCCTGACCTATATTCCAGACCAAGGAAAAAAGGAACTGTGGGCCTTTGTGGGGCTGTAGAGGGAAAACTGCAAGGGTCTATAGAAATGGATTCCATGCCTGCGTGCTTATCAGAGTCACGCCTGTGACTGCCCCGCAACGCAACTGGAAGGAGAATGATTACTGGAAAGAACGCAGGGTGGGGGGAGGGTGGGATGCGGGGATTTATGCCTGCAACTCCGGCACTTGGGAGGTGGAAGTAAGAGGATCATGGGTTGAAGGCCATCCTCAGCTACATAGCAAGTTTGAGGCCAGCCTGGGCTACATTAGACCTTGAAGAAAGAAGAGAGAGGGGAAGGAAAGAGAGAGAAGGCAGGACTACGATAGCCATTTGAACAAAGGAAAAAAGCAAATAAAATGACCTGGAAATTATAGTTTTAATCCTTTTCAAGACTGAACTCATTACGACTTTAAATCCCTCCTACACCTAAGGGAAATCTTAAAAATGGCCTTTCCCTTAGAACTGGAACACCAGGGCAACATCCTCTTCACACACACTCTGGCAGACCAGGAAGCAAAAAGCGTCCTCGAAACTTTGCATTCTAAAGCTACCTCATGAATATTCATAAGTCATAAATGCTGGGAAGCAGGTGGGAGGCAGAAACTGCACAGCCAGTTCCCCTAGACCTGCAGTGCTCACTGGGTTAGGTAAGGCCTCAGACTCCAGGCCTGAAAGGTCAGGACTGTGAATAGCCTATGAAGCCAGGGCCGCCCCAGTGCCCCCTGTACGTGAGAGGCAGGGGTAGGAAGGAGCAGGAGCTGTCCTCCACTACACGTTGGGTTCTAGGCTATCCCAAAGCTATATGAGATTCTCGGAAGCCAAAAACTAAACAAACAAACTGCAAAGTGTGACCTGGTGCTAGTATTTTTTCCCATCATAACTTTCTAAGGCTCTCCCGTTAATTTTGATTAGA